TCCCCCCCCCCCCAGCATTTCCTTCTGCTGGCACTTCTGATGACGGCATGCATAAGAACAGGTGGCCAGGAGATCCACTATAGTAAGAGACCTGGCAACATTACCACAGGTAAAAGTAGGAGGGGATGGCTGTCTTAGGTTTCTTGGGATTTTCTACATGTTAGCACTGTGCTATGGTGCTGGACAGGGCCAATATTAAAGCATTTATTTAAGATTTCTTGGGTGCTGATTCTATCAAAGCAGACAGAACTCTTAATCAATGTTCCCTCTAAGCTGTGGAGTCTTGTGAGAAAAAAATTGACTTCGTAAGCTACTGGCAATAAAGTTGTGAGCGAGCGATTTGGCTACTGCATAAATTAGTTTGCCCTGGAGCCATCCTTCCTGAGCTAAGACAAAAATGTGTGAGCCGGAGGCTAAAAAACTATGAGCTAGCTTGGACTAACTCAGCTTTCAGGGAACACTGCTCCTAACTGAGGTCTGGAGGAGGTGGACATTGCCATGTTCTGGCCTACAAACCTGAAGGAGGCTTGACGGTAATAGGACTCCTGTAAAAAACCCTGTAACTTTCTAAGCTAAGGAGCCATCCTTATATTGAATAACTGATAGGACATGTATAGAGGGAGGAACAGAGAAACTGCATTTTACCCTTTTTTTTAATCCCTTGTTCAATCTGGTGCTGTGCTGAAAGTATGCTTGTTAACATTTTCTTTTTAATAAATACTCTATAAGTTTTGATGCTGGTAGTGGTTCTCTGTACCACATAGACCTCCACTGTCTTGGGCACGCTATTTTAAAATGAGCGCCAGGAGGAAGGCATTCAGTTGGCAAGCGGCTATTCTTCCAGGGGCACACAAGGCAATAAACTGTCCCCATGGTAACCAGGCACTGGGCAGCGGGAGAGGCAAGGCCTCAGAACTTTGAAGGGAAGCCGGGAGTCCTGACCCTCCCAGCAGCCAATTCCTACAGGGGTCAAATGGTGGCAGCAGGTTACCCTAGAGAGAGAAAAGCCTCTCCAGGTGTTGGGAAAAACTTGGAGGGCAGGGTGGGAGGGGGCCTGCAGGCTGGAGCACGACTGTTCTGCAACATCCACCATTAATTACATAAATTATAGCTCATTCCTCAATAGTATATTAGTCCACGAGAATTACTGGATTCTCTTGAAGACTGCTAATAATATGTGCATTCAGCTGATAAGATACTTGCCCTGATTCTGCAACAACTGGTGCCTGATCATATCCCTTATCCCTGAGGATTTCAATTGCCTTTTGGCAGTTCACATCTGGAAGAAGAGTCAGGGGAGCCAAGAGATTCAGTTTCTGCACCTTGATATTCCACCACCTATGACAAAAATACATCAGCATATTAGTCAGGAGTCAGAATCTATGGGTGCAATCCTAAGTGAGTCTACTAAAAAGTAAGTCCCAAAGTATTCAGTGAGACTTACTCCCAGGCACCTATGTTATTTAAATGTTACTCTACTAGGATTCCAAACATCTGAGGGGGTGGGGTTCCCCCAGGATTACAACTGATATCCAACAATCCCTCAGATCTGTTCACTGAAGGTCATTTAAAAAAAGGCCCATCTGGATACATTCCTTACATACTTCTGGATGTAACCATAATAATACCCAAAACATATAGCCCTGCCCAGCCTAAGTTCAACTGGTACTAAACCTTTGTATCCTTTGTCATAAAGAAACTGAAGCAGGTAGGCATGCAGAGGAGGGTCTCTTCAACTATGGCCCTGAGGCCTTGAAACTGCCTGTCCCAGGATGCTGACAGCCCCCTCACTGTTGGCATTCTAGCGTCTGTTTAAAATATTGGGATTCATCCAGCTATCTGCAGACTTTATGGAACAGGAATGTCCTGCTTTTTTCCTGCTACAGCTGACTGAACCCTCCAAAAATTTGTTCCTAGGTAGGGTTGCCACTAGGGATGTTTGGGTCTACTGGGCCCCCCAAAATGTCAGGATTCCTGAAAAAAACAGATCCCAATACTGGTATTCAGATACAGGATTTTTCAGAAATCTCATTTTTTTTCTGACTCAATAGACCTGAACTGAAAAATATGGAGAGAGAGAAAGGAGCAGCAAAGTCACGAAAAACAGCTGAGAGGCAGCTCACCTGAAGCTCTTTTGGGCAGTCCCTTTAAACCAGACTGCCCCAAACAGCCTGTAAAACAGCTGATCTCACAGGGAGAACTCTTCCCATGGGCTCAGCTGGGGCTTTCTTGTGCATTTTGAACTGCCCAAAAGAGCCCCAGCTGAGCTGGCAGGGAAAGTTCTCCCTGCGGGATCAACTGCTTTGCAGAAGAGAACCTGAAAACAGCTGGGTGGCAGGAGCAATCTGCTCCAGCCCTTCAGCTGTTTTTCAGGGTTTGTCAGTAATCCCCAAATATAACTGGGATTTTTTCCAGGAATTGTTTTGGTTGTCCCCAAAAATCCCAGATATATTTGAAATGCTGACATATACCCAGAAAATACTGATAAGGTGTTTTTCAGGTATATTTTTGGACTGGGTAGATCCGAATGCACACCCCTAGCTGCCAGACCCCCTAGTGGAGGCTTACCAGTTGAAAGAGGAAGGCCCAGGCCGTGTTGCTGATGTTGCACAGGAAGTGACGTCAGAAATTCCATCTGATCCAGAATGCAGCCATGCGGGTCCTTACGGGATCCCCTCAGATGGCACATATTCAGCCTGTGCTGCGCAAGCGGCACTGGCTTCCAATGGAGTACCGGATCAGGTTCAAAGCGCTGTTTTTGACCTTTAAGGCCCTTAGCAGTCAGGGACCCACATACCTTCAGGACTGCCTCTCTCAGTATGCCCCCAAAAGAGTGCTACACTCAGGAAGTAAGAACCTTCTCTTTTTTTTGGCCCCCCGAAGGGAAGTAAGAACCTCCTGATGGTCCCTGGCCTGAGAGAGATCCAGCTGTCCTCAACCAGGACCAGGGCTTTTTCAGCCATGGCCCCTGCCTGGTAGAACTCTCCGCCAGAGAACATCCATGCTCTGCAGGATTTGTTACCTTTCCACAGGGCATGTAAGGCAAAGATGTTCTGCCAGGCATTTGGCTGAGTAAAGCAATGGGACAACACGTAGTCTGGCACTCTCACACCCTCCATTCTCCACAACCCACCAGGAAGGTTGTGGAAGCTGAATTTTTCTGCCATCTTGTAATTGGTTGTTTTATTTGTTAATATAGGCAGTCTGTATTTTATTGCCAGTTTTAATTTATTTATTATATTTCCCTTTGTTGTAAGCCACCCTGAGCCCTGCTTGCAGGAAAGGGTGGCCTGAAAATATAAATTAAATAAACAAATAACAAATAAATCATGCCAGCAACTTCCAGGCAACGCTCTGGTAATTGGGGAAAAAACTCTATGGTAGAAGCTGGTTTTACCATAGAGTTTTGCCCAAATATCAGAATGTCACCCGGAAGTCGCTTTCATGATGGTGTCACTTCCTGTGTGACACCAGCTATGTGGAGTGGGCCTTTCTGTTTCTCCTGGTAAGTCCCCCCCCACACACACTGGTTCCCAGGAGGGACCTATCCCTATTCCTGGGAGTTACTTAGGGTTGCCATTTCTCAGGTTGGCTGGGGGTTCTCTCACTTTTGTAGGCTCCTGCCTACCACCAGCCAGCTGGCAAGGAGGGGGAGGCCCACCCCCAACAGCGCCGATGGTGGCCACCCCTCCCCTCTTTCAAGATTTAAAGGGCCCTCCAGCTGATTGGCAGGAGCTTGTGGCCTGCCAATCAGTTGGAGGGCCCTTTAATTCTCTCAGGAGAAGGAGGTAGTGGCTGACAGTCCCAGGAAGTGGGTGCTGTGTGCCTGAACTCTAAAGTGGTGAATTCGCCACTTTGGAGTTCAGGTCCTGGCAGCTCCCATTTATAAAAAAAACATTTAAAGGGAAAGTTCCCTTTAAATGGTTTTTTGCAAGCGGGGGCTGCCCACTCATGAACTCCAAGTGGTGAATTTGCCGCTTTGGAGTTTAGGTGTGCAGCACCTGCTTGCAAAAAACCATTTAAAGGGAAGGTTCCTTTTAAATGCTTTTTTATAAATGGGAGCTGCCAGCTCCTGAACTGCAAGCAGCGAATTCACTGCTTTGAAGTTCAGGTGCATGGCACCTGCTTGCAAAAAGCCATTTAAAGGGAACCATTTGCTGCTTCCCAGATGTGATGATGTCATTTCCATGTGAAATCATCGTGTCAGGAAGTCCCCTGCCCCCTCCTGAAACACCCCCCAAATCCCCCCACCAGGGAGAAGATTTGACCTGGCAACCCTAGGGTTACTGCACGTCAGGAGCAGCATGAGAGAAGTGATGTGGGATGAGGCATGTTTTTATCTCTGATGCAAACAAATACATCAGCCACCATTAACGTCTCAATCCACACATGCCAAGAAAGTTGCCTAAATCAGGGTTCCCAGCCTTTTTGAGCCTCTGGGCACCTTTGGAATTCTGACAGAGTGGTTAGTGCAGCCACAAAATGGCTGCTGCAGGAGGCAGAGCCAGCCACAAAATGGGTGCCACAGCTTAATTTTAGTCACACAGTGAAAATCCTTGACAGTAGTGGCGGCTGCTGTCAAAGTAATGTTTTAAAAAATCAAATCAAAATCACAGGCAATCAAATCTCCAATGGCCAATTAGGAGCCTTGCTATGCAAAAGCCACACCTGGCCCTACCCACTTTCTGAAATCATGTAGTGGGCACCAGGAAAGGAGGCAGCAGGTGCCGTGACACCTACAGACACCATGCTGGGGGACTCCTGGCCCACATGGCTGTTCCGCGACTAAAGATATGTCATTTAAATGACTTCTCCTTATCAAGAAACAGTAACAGGTGAATCTGAACCTTACCAGGGATAATGTTCTTGAACATCCTCTTTCAGAAATCCATTTGTGATCATCCATTTGTCATTTAAAAATTTGGACCTAGAATTAATGAATAAAAGACACAGACCGCAAGCAGCATGAGAAAGCACACACTCATTACAAAATCAGCTTACCTCTTTTTTCTAAGACTACTGTCACTATCATTTTCTGACTTTCAGATACTCAGAAGAACACCCAATGTAACATAGAGAAATTAAAAACTGGTATGGCAGAGAACTGGTTGTGGCATTTAATAATAGGCTGACAGTAAAACTGAGAACAAAGCTCCCCTTTAGCAGGAAGAAGATTGTAGGAAGATGGCTGCCAGCTTGTAACATCCAGCCTGAGTGCTTCTCTCTCTCCTGCTGCAGGTATTTAAAGGCTGAGAATGGCCCTCGGTGCAAGTCAAAGGGCTCTTGACCCTTGGCCATGATGGACTAACGTAATGGTCCTCAGCCTAGGACGTGTTTTGTCTTTTATACTGTGTTTTATTGGAACAACATTTATTTTCTTTTTAAATAAGCCACTGGATCCACAAACTGGGGGGGGGGAATAAGCAGGATAAAAATACACTAAATAAATAAGTTGTATTCAGCGATGTTGTAGTGGTTACAATGCTAGGCAGGCAGGAAGTGAAGTGTGCTAAAAAGGCACAATCTCTGTGTAACAAGTGATTTACCCCCCGACATTGATCTGCACGTATATGGATATTGCATCCTGAACTGGCAGTAGCATAGACTCAAATATTACTGAGGTTTCTGTGATTTCAAAGCCATTTCAAAAATTTAGCATAAAACTAAAATAGGTAGGTGTTTTAGTGGACTATTTGGGTGGATTTTGATTATCTGAGGGCAGATACTAAGCTTGCTTTGAATAATCACCTTGAACAGTTTAATAACTCTGATTGAGTCATTCTAGTCAACATTAGCTTGAGCATAATTTCTGTACTAAAATTAGTAACAGCTGATATGATACTCAAAGTCTTCGGTTTCTTCTTCTGAGAGCTATAAAACATTAACACCACTTTCCATACGATTATCTTACAGCAGTAGTCTTTTCAGAATAGTCGTTTACCACATGACAGATAATTTTATCCTGATATAGTTCTTGACAAATATCTGATATCATCAAACTGATTTATGGGAATGGTGGAGGGCCAAAGAACGTTTCCTGCTTCTCTGACCAACTCTAAAACAGTTTCCTCACTATTGCTAATATGAGTGGAGAGGTAGGCGATAGCATAAGTTTGGCAGGTTGGCATTATTCCTTTAACTAATACAGATACTCCTCAAATGGTTTCAGCTGATGAGCAATCATAGATGGGAAGCAAAAACAAAAGACAACATACATGTAATTCCTCACAGAATCAGGTAAGATGACAACACAGCGTTGTCCTTCCTTTAGCTGCTTGGCAGCCTTCACCGCCACAGACATCGCACTGCCCGCACTTCCTCCTGCCACGTAAAGAAGACATCAGATATGTATGGAATGACAGAATGAAGGTAACAGTGGAACAGTGATTACAGATTACAAATGGACGAATATGAATCAGCTTCTTTTAAAGGTAGGAATGCCAGCCTTCAGGTAGGATCTGGGGATCCCCTGGGATTACAGCTCATTTCCAGACTAAAGAGATCAGTTTCCCTGGAGAAAATGGATGTTTTGGCAGTGTACCCCACTGAGGTCCCTGTCCTCCCCAGACTCCAACCCCAAATCTCCAGGAACAGGGGTCTTTTGGGGTCGGAGCGCGCCAGAGCACCACTCTGGCAGCCCAGAAGCTGGCGCAAATGGTGGTGCGGCAAGCCCCGCCCCCAGCTCCCCGTGCCGAAGCATGGAGCCGGGGGGAGGCCCAAAGAGCCCTGCCGCCAGGTCCCCCAGGCCTGCGCTGAAGTGCTAGGGCTGGGGTGGAGGCCTGAAGAGGCCTGCCGCCGGGTCTCCCGGGCCCACACTGGGTCTGGGGTCTGGGGCTGGGGTCAGGCCCGGAGAGTCCCACAGCCGGGTTCCCGGGCCCGCGCCAAAGCACTGGGGCCGGGGGAAGCCTGGAGAGCCCTGCCACTGGCTCCCCTGGTTCCACGCAGGAGCGCTGGGCCCGGGAGAAGCCTGGAGAGCCCTGCAGCCTGGTTCCCCAGGCCCGTGCCGGAGCGCTGGGCCCGGGGGAAGCCTGGATAGCCCTGCAGCTGGGTCCCCCCGGCCTGTGCAGGAGCACTGGGACTGGGGGAAGCCTGGAGAGCTCTGTAGCCGGGTCCCCTAGGCCCACGCCGAGGAAGTAAGTAAGGGATCGGGGGTGGGTGGGAGAGCCTCCCTCCCTCTCTTTGCCATCTTTCCCTCCTTTCCTTTCCTTTCCATCCTTTTCTTTCTCTCTTGCCCTGCTCTTCCTTCCTTCCTTCCTTCCTTCCTTCCTCTTTTCCTCCTTTCCTTCTCTTTTTCATTCCC